ACAGCTTTTTATTATCTTTTAGCACACACAGCTAATAATGTTACCCCTTCTCTCAATAATTAGGGATTGTAATACCTACAGAACTGAACAGAAAAGCATTCAGGATTTTTCACAAGTCCTATACTTCTTCATCCTCAACTTCTGTTATTATGCTCCATATTATTTTTAACCAAGCCTCTCTGGATTACCACTAATTCCAGACCATGGCAAGAACATTCACATTTCTATGCCTTTATTCTTGTTTTGGACATGGAGAGATCAGAGAAAAATCTGAGTCAGCAGAGGTACATTTAAGCTCCAAGCTGAGGTCAAACCAGGTGATACTCTGGCCTTCTTGCTTGTATTCTCATATTCTGGACATGTATCCTTTCTGCAATCTACTCAATTAGTGCAATATTTCTCATATTTTTGTGCTTTTTGATCTTGATGTTTAAAATAGTCCCAAAGCACAGCAATGAAGTGCTGTCTAGTGATCTTAAGTACAAGAAGGCTGTAATATTATTACGAGAAAATCATGTCTTAGATAAGCTTTGTTCAAGCACGAGTTACGGTGCTATTAGAAAAATTCAAAGTTAATAAATCAACATCATATATTAAATAAGGTATCTTTACACAGAAACATAAATAAAACAAGGTTATGTGTCAATCAGCTGATGGAAACATTGTACCAGAGGCTACCTAGAGCCTAACATTGTATCACCCTGAGAGCAATGTTTCGGTATTCCATAATTCAATGTTCACAGTGACTTTATAGAATATAGCTACTGTAAATTAGAATCAAAGGTACTGCAGTATTTCATTATGATTAAGTGCCACATTATACCTGATACACTAATTCTTAACATCAAAACTTCAATCTTTCATGCTACAATTTAAGCCCCAATTTTATCCTCAGTGAAGATATAGCAAGTTACCAACTCACTGTAATAACACTTTAACGATCAGAAATAATACTTCTATGTCCATTTTTTAAAAACTAAACTAGAGAAAACTTTTTGTATAAATGAAAGAAAAAAAAGTAAACCTATGTGTGAACAAATATGAAGTCGTAAGTAATCAAGCACTGTTTGCCAAAGGTTTTGTTACAAAAAAGATAGCCTCAGGTTGCTACTGAAATCAATTTATATATAGAAGCAAAATAAAAATGTATCAAAGTATAAGAAGTGGTTAGTGCTGGTGAAACTAGTCTTGATAATAAAACATCAAGAATTTTTTGCAAATTAATGAAGGCATAAATATATACTATTAGCATCCAATAAAAATCTGCAACCAAGGAAATTCTCTAACATTTCATTTTTACCTATGACAGGACAAACACAAAAATTTCCAGTGTAGGAGTATAATTTTCTCTCAAAAGATTTCAGTTAGGATATATGATTTTTAAATCTTCTGTACATCACATTTAAGGGTGTCACTCAATGTAAATCCTAAAATAAGTAATAATGACAGAGGAGAGTAAAGGAATAATACTTTTGGTCTGATTCTTTCTGTAGCTCTCTATTAAGTTCATCAATGCGCTGCTGTAGTTTTTTACGTCTCTGTTCTGGTGGCAGATGACTGAAATCTTCTAGTGCTGGGCCCTGAAAAGAGAATCTAAATCATTATAATAGACATTTTCGGGAAATGTTGTTTTTAAAATATACCTGCTATAAAATAAGAATACATACCAATCTTAAGTTTAATTTCAAATTTGCCTCAAGCAACCCCTTTAAAAAAATCTACATAGATGTATGTGTTTATGCATATATGTTAATGAAAACAACTGAACTGAAGAAAGCTCAAATTCCTGTCATTTTATAAAGCCATCAAACAAAACATGTTAAAATTATACCCAGATAGAGATAACTGGTAGGTAGTATAACATTACTTTCAAATCTTGGCAGAGTTATTATGAATACATATAAACCTTCTTACAGCAACAACAACAAAATGGAAACACGTAACATCTCTTGTCTATACAGGGTATTGTTTTATATATAACATATCACAACATTTCCAAATCAAACCCATTGCTATAACATTCAGAATGTTACAAATGTTCAAACTAAAAATATGAATATAATTAAGAAACTTACCTCACAAGGACAATCTAATTAAATATACTTTAATACTACATAGAGGGCTTGGCGGCTTGGCATGGTGGCTCATATCTGTAATCCCAGCACTTTGGGAGTCCAAGGTGGGTGGATCACCTGAGGTCAGGAGTTCTAGACCAGTCTGACCTACATGGAGAAACCCCATCTACTAAAAATACAAATATTAGCTAGTGGTGGTGCGTGCCTGTAATCCCAGCTACTCGGGAGGCTGAAGCAGGAGAATCCCTTGAACCCGAGAGGTGGAGGCTGCGGTGAGCCGAGATCACACCACAGCACTCCAGCCTGGGCAACAAGAGCAAAACTCCGTCTCAAAAAAAAAAAACTACAGATAATATTTGAACAATAAACCACTCAAAACATACCTGGTGATTAAAAAAACAATAGAACTGTCTAGTGAGCAGAAATTATATTCCAACAAGGAGTATCTATTATCCTTTTGTAAACCAAGTAACATACCTCAGTTGAGAAAGATAAAATGCTTCTTTAGTAAAGATGCTTGACATCTGAAATTTTTTTTAAAGTTTTGATATTCAAGAAACTATGCAATTTAAGAAAAAGTGCTAGTATTTAAATGTAAACATCCAATCCAAATGACGTCTTTCCCCTTAAATGTTATTTTAATCACTGTTACTTATGTTATTAGAGATTACAACAGAACCAATATTAGCAGCTATTGAATCTATTTAATATAAACCTATATTACTTGTCTTTATATATACTCCCAGAAACTGATGATGCCTGTCACTATTCATTTTGTTTCCAAAATGGTTATTTTAAGAATATAAATATGAGGCCAGGAGGGGTGGCTCATGCCTCTAATCCTAGCACTTTAGGAGGCCGAGGAGGGTGGATCACCTGAGGTCAGGAGTTAGAGACCAGCCTGGAGTCTGGCCAACAAGGTGAAACCCTGTCTCTACTAAAAATACAAAAAATTAGCCAGGTGTGGTGGCAGAAACCTATAATCCCAGCTACCTGGGAGGCTGAGGCAGGAGAATTGCTTGAACCCAGGAGGCAGAGGTCGCAATGAGCTGAGACTGTCATCGCACTCCAGCCTGGGTGACAAGAGTAAGACTCCGTCTAAAGCAACAAACAAAAGAATACAAATACGATTCCATTTGTTAAAGTGATGCTAAAAGTAGCTCTCAAAACGAAGACATTCTTGCTCTTTGGGCCTCTTATGCCTGCAACATATGCTAAATAGCTTTATTTCACCGTGTGTAAGAATGATTCATTTACTTTTAGAAAAGAAAAAATTCACTCCTAGGATGAGCTATGATCAAATGTGGTTTAATTAATAACAGAATCCCTAGTATCTTTCCCCAGTGGCCTGCACATTATGGATATTCAACAAGCTTGCTAGAAAAAAGTAGGGCATCCTAAGTGGTCTTTGTTTTTTTTTCATTTACCAGTCACCAGAAACAAGGATATCAATCAACCCAATCTGACCTAAATAAATCAATGGCGAAACTTCCTATATGAAGTTCCTTTAGATTTATTGGTTAATTTTCAACATAAATTTGTCATATTTAATCTAATTTGGAGTCGAGGGTTTTTTGTAGGGTCTCACTCTGTTGCCCACAATGGAATGCAGTTGAGTGATCATAGCTCTCATGGCTCACTACAGCCTCGAACTCCTGCACTCAACCAATCCTCCCGCCTTAGCCTCCCAAATAGCTGGGATTACAGGCAAGGAGTACAAGTTTTGAAAACTAATGTATGTATGTATGTATGTATGTATGTATGTATGTATGTGTGTCAAAAATAAACTTCCTAATTTAAATTTTAAAAATATTTCAGAAAATCTTGAAAAATTATTTAGTAAAATGAAGAAATGCAGTTCAACATACTGTGGGGTTTCTGTTTTTAAAATTACAATAACCTAGAAGTAAATCGCCAGAATTCCACTTAGCCCTTACCAAACCTTGTTCTCAAATTTATGAACAGTAAATACTGAGGTACTTACATTTCTAATACCCCTTTTGCCATTAGAACCCTATTCTTACATGGAATACCAGAATTAAACTCAACTCTATTTCCTATGGATGTTCAGAAGACCTCTAAGGCATTTAACCACCTCTCTTACTACAAAGGAAATTTATAAAAGGCTGATTCCAACAGGGTTAAAAAAAAAAGTAGTCTATTTTCCAATAGCTTTCTATACAATAATTTTGGGGTTAGCTCCTAATGTAAGTTCATTAATTTGTTTGAAATAAATAAACATACAAAGGAACATCCCAAACACACACACCATCCCCCCCAAACACACACACAAACACACACACAATATTTAGATCATCCGTGCTTCTGTTCTCCTTAAACAGCACAGAAGAACCAAGCACTAACTTCATAATGATACTAGAAGGAAATTCTTCTTTCTTTTTTGAAAAATCTAATGATTCTGGTGACAAAACTACAAATCAAATGTATATGATTTTTAAAGGATATTAAGTAAAATTGTATTTGCTAAATTTTCCTTCTGCATAACACACTGTGGCTCTACCATGTAATCTTTTAAAATGTTTAACCATTTAAAAATGTTTAATTTTATACTCCTATGTAACATGACAAGGACTCCATTCAATGACATTTAAGAACTTAATGGGTTGATGACAATTAACCACATTATTTTCTAATCTTATGACATCAAGAGTACTGGCATATGCTGGACTATGAATTAAACTATAAAAAGAAAAAACACACAAGGTGAAAACGTGGGATGTAATTTACCACTTGTTTTGAATTAAACAAAACAATGTTTTGAGATTACTTAATGTTGGCACAGCATATAGATCAGCACATAAGGCTTACCATCTTCACCGACCACTGAATAGTTCAATGGAAAACAGAAAGAAATGGTAAATTATTCACAGGAAACCATAATTCAGAAGATGCAATAGCCTATTCTTTTTTTTTACAATACTAAAATAAATCATGTACATTTTACAATTCAAACAGTTATGCCAGAAAACCCATTTTAAGCACATTTGGGGAAAGTAAATTACTTGCAAAAAAAAAAAAAAAAAAAAAAAAAAAAGCATACACTGATGATAATGGGCAGATATTTTCTATGTTTAACTAAAACTTAAAAGTAATCATTCTATCTGTAATCATGCATTTTCTTTTAAAGTGAATTTTATGTAAGTGAATTTAACTTCTATAGCTCTTTATTCTCAAATTACTAATATTTGAAAAGTTGAATATGAGCTCCAAGATTAGACATTTAAAAAGAAATCTTACATGAAATATTAAAAAATAGAATGTTCATCCCAGTGCATTAAAGAAAATACTATTATCTGCATTTTTATACTTCAAAGTACTGCTTGAATTTAAATATACCATGGTTAGGTGAGGGTAACATTTTTACTTTGGTTTTAAGATCTTTTTAAATGCACAGATACATTAAAAATATATTATTAACAAAATAATGAGTTATCTAGATTCAAGTTTCCCATGCACATTTAGAAATATATACAAATATATAGGTTGAATTTTGCTTTAAAAATATAGCTTCTATTTTTCAGGTTTTATTTTAAAATCCATATGCTTGAAGAACACTTAAAAGTTAACTTTAATTTTTAGAAAATTGATTAGAGTGTATTCTTTCTGAAAATATGCAATGACAGACTCTGGAGAGACCAACTGTAGTGCTCTTATACTTTATATATGTGTATATGTATGTGTGTGTATATAGACATAGATATGAATATGGATATGGATATATTTCCCACATTCTGTGGGTCAGGATTCTGCAACTGGCATGGCATCTATCTAGCATCCCAACTACACACACACACACACACATACACACACACAGTGACCCAGAATATGCAACAGGGCTTTATAAAGTTAATCTTCACATTCATCTCAATTGGTTAGCAGCTTCTAAAATTTTTACTTTTCCCTGTTTTCTAAATCATGATGTTTTAAGAGAAGGTGTTAGGGAGAGGTCAGGTAAAAATTCACGTTAAAAATATGAATGAATTTTAATAAATAATCTGACAAAAATATCTACCCCTTATCTCTGATGAGTTGGTCACCGCTATGCATTATGTTTTCAAATTAAGCTTAACATTCTTTAGACTGTCAGTATTTTTGAGAAACAAAAAACACAATTTATTTTGCTATGAAAAAACTCCTGGCAAGGAAATAAAAAGGTTTAAAGAAAGATGTTCACAGTCTTTAAAAAATATTATTAAATGAAATTATATACAGGACAAGCAACAAAATATTTAAAGAATTTGAATCTGACTTATCTTTTATAATTTTCACCAGTAAAATTTCTAAGTGATGCAAATTATCTAATTTCTATGTTAATCTTTTAGAGAAAACATTAAGATAATTATAGCTGAAATATCAAATGTTTCAGTTTTTTGTTAATCCAGTCTTACTAAATTATCAATTGGAAATTTGATTATTAGATTTGGGGATGTACAAAACTCAAGTTCTTTGTAAAAATATTAGACATATATTCTTTGTAAGGTTTTAAAGTAATACATGTTCCACACAAAAATACCTTATTCTCATATACAATTACCATATACTCATAAACTAGAAAATTTCATATACTCAACTACATTTAATAAATATAAGAGATCTAAACAGAAAACCATTTAGGCAATTAAAATTATTAGGTGTATCTCATTTTAAACAGGACAAAATCTCATGAGAACTACTCTGGAAAGATAAAAGCTTAGAAAAAATGTCTCTGAAAGTCTATGAAGTCATAAATAATTTAGACAAAAAACCTGAACTCATTGCTAAATAACTTAAAAAACGGTATCTTATAAAGCTCAAATTAAATAGCAATAGAGTAAAAATTATTAGTTTGTATTTTAAGTAGTTAAAGTTTGGGCATATCCTCAAATATCCATTAACAGTTAAAACTTAATGTCACAGAAGGAAATTTTAGACCTTCCTCCCTCAGAAAAAATCCACTGATACCACAGTCAAACTAAAAAACACTGGTGTAATACAACATTTTTCATATCCTTAATTTATACTGGGATCTGTACACACCAGTTTTTCTTTAAAAAAGGAAAAGAAAAAGATTTTTAAAAATCATAATTTTTAAGAAGTTACTTAGGAAAAGCAATGTGCAGCAAATATTGCACAAAACAAGTTTCTGAACTGAATGGTACAACTTGTCAGTTTTAAGAAACCTCTAGACTTACTTTGTAATCTTAATAAGACTGAAAACTCCATAAGCAGGTTTACTAAAGCTTACCTTCTTTTTGAATTTTTCTATATTGAGAAAATTCTTAAGTGGAAAAAAAATCTCTATAGGTTAGTTTTTGAGATAATATTTAGTAAATAACAAATGCTCATCAAAAGAAAGAAATTTGTCAACCTCAAAGTTGTAATCCACTTTCCTCCCTGCTCTGTTCTCTCAAACCCCTAGTTGGGTTTGTCATATTTTCTAGCTTGCACACTGTTTTCTTCTTTGGAGTGGTAGGTAGTAACAAATCTGGGAGGGAATTTCAGCCTTCTAAAACTAGGCCCCTATAAAAATAATTTATGTTTATAACTTGTGAGAAACAAATAACAAGCAAATAGTTTTAAGGTTTACAGTTGTAAAATTCTACCTACAAACTTATTCAATAAAAATAAAATGACGCAAATTTATGCTTCTCTCTCCAGGGCTCATAGCTCTAATTGCCTGAGTTTTTTTTTTGTTTTTTTTGTTTTTTTAGAATTTCACTCACCTCGTACCTCTATATGTATAAAATATGACTATGACTATATATAAAATATGACTATTTTAACTGGGCCTGGCAGGCTCATTATGCAGGATACACAAACGATTACAAAAACATGACTACAACATAGTTATTTCTCATGATTTATATAACAACCTAATATTTAGTGTAGTCTAAACTGCCAGAGGAGTGGTGGTTCATGTCTGTAATCCCACAACTTTGGAAGGCTGAAGTGGGAGGATTCCTTGAGCCCAGGAGTTTGAGACCCGTCTGGGCAACGTAGCAAGATCAACATCTCTAAAAAATTAAAAATAAAAATAAGTAAATAAATAAACTGCTATAGGGAAGCAACAGGGGAATTGGTTCTAGCCTTGTAACTTAGACAATAGAAATCCCAAATATGATTTCTCAAAAGTCTTTCAAACATGTGTTCAGAGCTTTTAGAAGTGATTATAGGCATCCTGTAGTTATAATACATGGGGACTTTTCAAAATGTCATCAATTACCTACCGTCCACATATAGAATTAGGTAAGACAGATGCAAAGTAGTTCATGTCATTGGAGGAAAAAACAAGTCCAAAAAAAAAAAAAACAAAACAAAACAAAACACAACATCCTGGAACATTTCTGCTGCATTAGTAACATCAGTTAAGTCTGTTATAATGTTTTAAGGCAGCATAGATGTAATCTTGTCCCTAAACTAATATATCTTCTTCTACAGGAGGCCAAAATGTAATTTGAAGACAGGAAGACAAATAGACAGAAGGGAAGGAGGGGAAAGAAGAGAGGAGAAAGGAAGGGGGGGAAGGGAAGAAGGAAGAATGAAATAACCTAACTTTAGATTATTATTGTTAGGCTTCTTATGACACTGATAGACTGATTTCTCCACTATGGGTTAGCAAACTTACGTTTTTCAAATGTCCAATCAAATGCTCAAACAAATCTTATAAATGAATCTAAATTATAGGCTATTAATATTAAAAGCGCACCCTTTAAAAATCAAACAAGAAAAATTAGCCTAACATAAGACAGTAACACTAATGTGCACACCCTTAAAATCAAACATAAACAAGAAAAATTAGCCTCACTAACATAATAGAGTAACACTAATGTATTTATTACTAGTTTAACAGTTGTTGCTAAGCAACAGTTTAGTAAACATTACTCAGTGATACCTAGTATTTTTGTAGGCATTACAATTTACAATATCCTTCTAATATATTATCTCAATTTGATCTGCAACAATCTTGATATCTAAAACACCTATCTTTAATATTTTTTAATTATTGAAACTGTGTTTTATACATCTCAAAGTATGCAGGGCAATTAAAATTGAGCTTGACATTTTATTGTCAACAAAATAATACTTTATAAAATTGGCAGGTAAAGTCAGCATTGGTGACAAATTATTACAAGAGTTAACTCCAGTGACAAATTACTGAAAGTCTTAAAAATGTAAATACATTACAAGACAATGGTGAACATATGATTTCACATAAACAAAAAAATAGCTCAAATATGATTGTACCCAGCACCCTCTTTATAATACCATTCTTTTATGGTTGAGCATTTCAAATGTTATAAAGAGGAGTTGTTTTTAACTTGAGGGCAGCTATTCTTAATTCTGTGGTGTTTTTAAACTATGTATTTATAGGAGAGAGCCTTATAATGAGGGTGGAGAGTATTAAAAGCCACACTACACACACAATAGGCCATCATGCATTTTAACCCATTATTAAACTTACCCCTCTTTTGAGGCTTCTGAAAGAAGGAATTCTGGGCTTCCCTGTTTTTATTTCATTCATACAATAATGCACGGGCTCAATGGAGAATGTGAGAAACTGGGACCCATTAGGAGTACTGGATGTGAATAAACTAGTAGGGGTTAAGGGTGGGGACTGTGGCTAATATGGAAATAAAGAAAGGAATCAATAAGCCAAATGTGCATAGTTTTTTCCTAAATGAAAATTCTATTTTTGGCAACATACTTTTCACAAAATATACCTCAAATAAAGTTTACTATAAAAATACTATGAGAAAGTAAACATAGTTTTGCCCAAAACTATCATTTTAAAAATTTACTTTCTAAAATGTACCATTTCACTTGATTACTTTTTATAAGCGGACAGATTAAAAATATAGAGTACACAAATTACACTGTCAAAGAAAGCAATATGACCTAGATTTTTAAATTCTCTTCTAAGTTGTAGAATATTAGCACTACCATTGTACTTAAGAGAAAAGCTGGCAGCTACAGCTAAAGTTATCTAAATAGGTAATGTGACACATACAATATTAAAACTATAACTGATTATTATCAAAAATAGGCAAAAAAACTTTCATTACATTCATGGCTTTCCTCTCAGATCTCAGACTCTTTCGATTTCATCCTTATTTCATCTTTTCCATTTAATTACAGTATTCCTTGTACATCTAAGCTCTTCTAGCTGCCTCGATCTGACTAAAACAGGTCTCACTTCCCAAATTCTTGACTGAACAATATTGTTAAAAGCATAAAGCATGAGTTAGTTATAATTGTGCTTTTAAAGATGTAAGTATGAGTTAAATTTTATCTACACTCATATGACATGATCAAAAAAATGAATTAAAATAATCAAATATAAACATAGCACATCAGATTAAAAGTATTCCTCTATTCTCTCTGCTAATAAGACTCTACTGCAACCACTTAATTGATAAGAAAGACACAGCACCCATCTATTTCATTTGCTCACATGCTGATCTAGATCTATCTAAAATAAACAGCACATCAGAAGGTAGGTTCTAACAAGAAGTTAAGAGATTCTCTTAGCAAACTCGATATTGTTTTAAACTTCAATTAACCAGGACTGAACCCTTCCCATTAAAAACATATATGGATGATGAAAATAACTTTAGTAGTATGATCTGTAAAACCTAATCTGACATTTATTATGGCTGTGGTCAATCATTCATTCCACTGAGAATTGCAATTTTAGTGGTATTTTAGTTAGATCATGTTTCCTTAGAAATTCTGATGGGAAGTATATACAAATGAAACTTCAAAAGCATATAATTTAACTAGATATAACAACTTTGTTAATACTCTTACCCAATATGCAGTAGTCAAATGTTAAATCCATAAATAACTTTTACTATTAAGGTATAAAACTATGTTTCCTAATATAAGAGAAAGGTTAACTGAATCATTCAAATTGAAAATATTTATTCTCCATTAATGGTAAACCATTTTCCATTCAATACCCATATTCTTTTAACTGGTACACTTAAATTGATTAGCATATAGGAATTTTATGACTTTTACCTTTGGCTTCTTTCCAAAGAGCCACAATTTGCCCTTGGCCTTTCCTACTGTGGTTTTGGCATCCATCTTCCCACTCTCCTGTTTGGATGCACTGATAGTCCCATCAGAAATGGTTCTATATATATGTTGACTGTAATCTTCAAACGGAAAGTCTCCTGGAGGTTCAAAACCAGATTTGAAGGAGTCTACCACCATTTGAGAGTCCTACACAACAGAAACGTAAGTTTTAGAACTATTTTACTGACTCATAATTCTACATTAGCTTTCAAAATTTTATTCACTACAAGAAAACGACAAACATCCATTTAAATAAATAATTCCACAGTAATCATTAAAGTAAATAATTTATTCCTATGAATGTTTAACAAACTCAAAATATTTTAATCCCAAAAGAAAAATATACTTGCAAATTACCACTTAATTAATTTATAATATTCATAAAATGTTTTTACACCTGAAATTTATCTGAAGACTAGTTGGCTGATAAGAAAGACCTAACTGACAAAAAGAATACAGAAAGAGGTTATTATTAAGTAGAAATTTTGAGAAGTTTCAAAGGAAAAAGGCTTTTTTGCTTTAAAAGATAGATGTCTACAAAGAAGCTAAACTTTCGAGTGAGGAAAGAACATCTAATTGTAAGAGAGAGTAAAAGATGAGTAGGAAAGGCTTTCTAACTCATCCAACATGGGAAAAGATGAATTAAATATATACTGTGGAATGTTAACAGGGCAACAGGGAAAGATCTCATAAACACTACTGAGGGCAAAAATGTTTGAAAACATAAAGTTTAATACCATGTACTTAAAACTTTTAAACTCACGTATTGTTTTTAGATATGCACACCTATCTGAATGCTTTATTGACATCTTAAACTCATTATTTTCAAAGAGAATATCTCTACAAGCTCCTCCCCACCCCTTACAACCTCTCCTCTTTTGTTGCCTATTTCTTTTAATAGAACATTTTGCCCTTCATTTAGTCAAAAGTCATCCTTAAGTCATAGCTTACTTTTGTCAATAATGCTACCCTCAGCAATCCTTTGCTAAAGCGTAAGAAGAGAGAAGAGGGCTCTAATGATATTGTATAACGTTGTATCCAGCTATGCTGAAATATATATGCACTTTGGAATTCCCAATCAAAGAAGCAAAAATCCTCTTTCCTAAATTTAAGAACAATTCTATTAGTTGTTACAGAAAGGATCCTCACTAATATAATATCTACGTGATAGGTTCATGAAGACTAAAATATGTGGCACACGTGTGATACCCTCCAAACACCAGTTCTCTTCTCTTGCTACGGCCTTTTCCTCAGTTTCTGCCAACCATGCTTTTTGATCACTCAATCAACATTTACTGAGATAAAAGACCACTAGTCCTTAATCAAGATACAATGTGACTACCTGTATTTCTCCAAGGGGAGGAAGGCTATGCTATTTCATCTGCACAAAATGCCCTCCTTCCTCCTCCTCATGGGTCATCACTCCATATGCCACCCACATTTCTTGATATAGCTCAAGTGCCAAACGCAACTCTGATCATGTCCTTCTCTAAATTTTCACTAAACTCATAGTATAACACAATTTGTAACACATAGTTCTTAGGTTAGACTCTTTGATAAGAACTGAAAACTTAGTGAGAGAAGAACAGAGTTAAGAAATCTTTTTTTTTAAAAGAACGAATTAGAACTTCTGCATTTAGAATGAACCTTAGAACTCAAAGGAATCTATTGCAATACGTTCTTCTACAGAATTTAGAACCACCTACACATCAGATTACTTTATCCCTTTCCCAACTCATTTCACTAACTTAAACTGCACACCTAAACCAAACAGACGTATTCAAAGATAATTATGTAGCACTTACTCTTCTTTCATCAACTGATTTTGCTGCAAGAATCATTCCTTCCAAACATTTTGAAATGATAGGAATAACTTTGCGTTCTGAATCAGCAAATCCTCTGTAACACTCACTGAGTTTTATAGTCCTTCGTTCGTCCATTTCTTGTAGTTGCTAATAATCAAGAATTTAAAAAAAAAAAAAAGAAAACAATTCTTCAGTCATTCTAAAGGAGATCAATTAGTGACTCTCCACCAAAAAAATAAAGATTTCTACCCTCATAGTTATACTGTTGTTAATACCTTTTAACAAGTGCTATTGTCTTATAATACTTAAAACCTGAGGCATGCTAAACAGCAAAAGAAAGAAAAAAAAATTAGTAAGGCTCTTAGTATTGTTTTCCTAAAACCAGATGACACTGGTATTCTAGTCTCCTAAAAGGATCCCTTACTGGCTATCAGCTCCCTGCCCCATACCATTCCCGCCTTTTACTCTTCAATCAGAGTAGTTCTTGTTTATGCTTCTAGGAAACATTTCATTTGAAGAAAAAATTCTAGTTTTTGCTTTTTCTTTTTTAAGCAATTGGCCCATAACAGAGACAAGTCTAAGACTTCTAACCTCAAGTTAATTCAGGGTACTTTGGTAAGACCTGGCTGGACCAACAGTCTACACTCATTGTTTATCAACAGGTAACCAGACTCACCACAGTGTACAGCTCAGAGCTGGGGACAATAAGGAAAAACAGAAGTCACAAGCTCAAAGGGGCACATATAGAATCCTCACAATTCAAAATTCGCTGGCACATGCCACTAGGAAATATGTTGGAACACATAAAGGCGAACAACTTAAAGGCATTTTTTTTGACATATCCTATTTGCCAGCACTGACCTTTCTGTTTTGTAGGAAGCAGTTACACTGCCTGTGTCCCCAAACTCCCACAGCCTGAGACTTTGAGACCTGCATTTTCACAAAAGAATTGCTCCCATAGAAAGGTCCAAATGCAAGGATCAGGCCCAAAACACGAAAGGTAGTTTATCTCCAAGTTGTGGTCTCCCCAGAGTATGAAGACTTAACTACTAAGCCTAGAAAAGTACCACAGTGAAGACTGGCAGGCTTGGTCCTCTGGATTCAATGACCAGAATTTGATACCCACTCCAGTTCACCAACTCTCACTGTGCTTCCTTTGTATTTCCAAATTGCTCATAAAGAAGAAAAAGTATACCCGAGCTGATACTCTTCCCACATAAGTTCTGCTCTTTGAGATAATACCTCATCAACACTGTTTTACTAAATCCCTTTTCTGTAATTTCTCTTCTTACTAGAAAAGGCAATAACATAATTTAACCCTCATGAAAATTCTGAGGTCTTTTTTACCTGACACTGTTTGGCAACTGCTATCATCAAGTGATGACAGACAGGATTTATAAGCAAGCTCAACATGTGAATTACATTTATCATCTAACAGAGCCAACATGATAAGCAGGCAAAAATCACGCTAGCAAATACATTTTTAAGATTTATTTCTGCCATATGGACTGATGCCAATGACTCTGATTTCGTATAAAAAAGCTACATCTCAATTCTAAGTGAACATATTACG